CAAATTCATGATACCAACTAGTCATAGAGAATTACAGGGTAAATAGATGGATGCAGGGGCATGCCAGATTTGAGGGTTGGAGAGGAAAAGGATTTAGGGGGATGTGGAGAGAGGTGAAGGAGGGATACAGGGTCGAGGTGTTGGAGGGAAGGGTGGAGGGGTGGAGAAAGGGGAAAGTAGGGGTCGAAAGAGATGGAAAGGGGGAAGGGGAAGACATTGTAGGAAGGGAAAAAGGAATAGCCAAGACAGAAGGAAGGATAAATGATCAATCTGCACTAATGAGGGTAAATTCCCTCGTTACATATCACCACTGGCTTTCAGGTATCTGTTGGCAGATTCTGATAGGTCTAGTTTTAGATAGAGGAGGGGTAAATGTGTGTATTGGTCTTAAGTAGACTCTAACTTGAGGCATTGGGAGGGACATCTTCTTAGACAGAAACCGTTACTTAAAAGTTTATAGGGCGGCGGATGGTATTGAGTGGAAAGGGTGTTCTACGATTTGGCATGCATCGTCAGGAAGGAGAGGAAATGTTTAGGAAATGGCTGGGGAGGTGCAGGTACATACAGGGTAGTTACAGAAAGTTATGTAGGGATGGCACTTAGGGCTGGCTGTAGCTTGGGGACGCAGAGATGGAGTTTGAGACAAGCTAGACCATAGATCATGATACTGAAGGGGACTTTCAAATCAAGTTTGAGACTCCTGAGATGGAATCATTCTGAGTGTGAACATGTTTCCCTCCCAATCCCCCACTTGGATTCTGGAGGAAGTGATTATGTGGGTCACTGCTGCTCAAACAAAAACCCACTCATAGGTGATATTGGATAAAATAGACAATCTAATCAGACTGCAAGCCTTGTTGCTACTCCATCCACGGCTGTAGTTTGTAGGTGTGTGTATATATATGTCTGACAGATGTACCAGGGCAGTGGGCTGTAATATCTACTGTATACAGTGCCACAAACCAGGGGAGATAACTTATGTATACACCCCACCACTACTCAGGGGAGACAATCGGTTCTACACCACTCACTCACAATTCAAGTGAAAGAACTGATTCTACGACTTTATTCAGGGGTAACAGTAAAGTTTTTATGAAAAAATGTCCCAGCTGCATTTTACTACTACTTTTAAGCTTATCTCCTCCCAGTTTAGAACTTTGGATTTAGAGTCAGACTTCCAAATGATCAAATTACTAAGAGTTATTTTTTTCAAAATAATTCAATATTCTAGAGACAGGGGCCTGTCTAGGGAAACAGTGGATTCTATTCTATAACACTATTCAGGGGAGACAACTAATTCTTTTATACCTCTCTATACAAGGGAGACAACTGATTCTAAACCTCCGCTATAAACAAGGATGACAAAACTAATTCTACCACTCCATAAATGGGAAAAAAATGATTTTACCACTCTATACAGGGGCTACAACTGATTCTACACAACCACTACATACAAGGGAGACAACTGATGTTACCAATATATACAGGGGCGACAACTGATTCTACACAACCATTCCATACATGGGAAACTACTGATTTTACCACTCTATACAGGGGCTACAACTGATTCTGCACAACCACTCCATTCAAGGGAGACAACTGATTTTACCAATATATACAGGGGTGACAACTGATTCTACACAACCACTCCATACAAGGGAGACAACTGAGTTTACCACACATGGGAGATAACTGATTCTACACAACAACTTTATACAAGGGATACAACTGATTTTACCACTATATACAGGGGAGATAACTGATTCTACACAACCACTTTTTACAAGGGAGACAACCGATTTAACAAATATACAGGTAAGACAAGTGTTGATACCAATCTATACAAGGGAGACAGCTGATTTTACTAGTCTCTATAGGGGAGACAAGTAGATGATACCATTCAATACAGGGGAGACAACTGATTCTAAACTTTCAGTCTGTACAATTGAGACAAATGATTTCACTAGTCTCTATAGGGGAGACAAGTAGATGATACCATTCAATACAGGGGAGACAACTGATTCTAAACTTTCAGTCTATACAAGTGAGACAAATAATTTTACTTGTCTCTATATATAGGGGGAGACAACTGATTCTAAACTCTCAGTCTATACAAGTTAGACAAATGATTTCACTAGTCTCTATAGGGGAGACAAGTGATGATACCATTAAATACAGGGGAGGCAACTGTTTCTTCCTTTTTTTCCAAGGGAGACAACAAATTCTACACTACGTATATACCTCTCTATAGAGGAGACCCACCTTATTCTACCACTCCATTCAGGGAAAACTATCTGATGTCACACTACAACTCAACAAAAGGGAGACTACTGATACTCTACAAATAAAATGCTGACAATACATCCAGGAGTGACAAGAGAAGAAAAGTAACATTTGATTGTAAATCTGTCTAAAAGAAGAAACAGTTTCTTCACGTTTTTCTTTTACTGAGATTTATTGCTATGACAATCAAAGCAGGGTTTTACAAAAAATAACCTAGACATTTAGTTTTAGTTCTTGAATTTTATCACTTTTAAACCTACCACATCTTAACTCATGCATTCACCCCTTAAATTTCATAATTAACTATTCCAACCTTTGAATTGGAAGAGTTCAAATGTGTTTTCAGGGGTGAATGAGCTAATACAGCGATCTACAGCATGTACTCCAACTATTTTACGTATACCTGTTCAGGGAAATCTTATAAGTGAGATTTATTGTTATGGAGGGTGTAATTAGGCCAGATACAGAGGCTGAGGGTGTCCATCACACAGCCCTTATCAATGATCCAGTTCCTATCTCCTGGCCTCTGTGGCAAGTGATTCATAAACTCGTCTGTTAGCCAGCCCTTATCATGCCCAGATCAGATATATTATTCTTCACCTTTCTTCACCACTACAGGTGGTATATGGGGGGCCTGGCTCTACTGATCATTGTGTTACCGACACTTTCAATGTTGACGGATATCCACCAAAGTAAAAGTACCGATACTGCTTCAGTCACGCACAATTTTTATAAAAAAGTTAAAGCAATTTTTAGGGGGGAAATTTTCAAGGTTTTTGTATTCTTTGGGCGTAAAATTATGTAATCTAAAATCGCTAATAAGCTGAAAACTGATATTCAAACATGTGTCGGTACAGGTTTCCCATTGTAGATAATATGATGGTAATTAGGAACTTCATTTGTATAGCAATAAAGGAAAAGTGATCCCTGCAGACGTCTTGATGGATGATCTCTGTTTTTTATTGGAAACCCCAAAGGCATTGATGCCCATCACCCCTCTTGTAGTTTGGTGTAAGGGTGGAACTTCTCAAGATAGTAAAGTGCATCTACCAGTATTAAAAAGTGCTGGTACATTATGGAGGTAGGGTTGTATGTGTGCTCTAAAAGTAAGAGCTACACATGATATATAGTATAGCATTTGAAGGTACATTGATGAGCAGAAAACCTATGGGTACCTAGTGCTTAATATATATGTATATTTTTCTTCAAAGCAGCTTATCAGTATGACATCATTGAAATTTTGACTCAAAGAACAACCATTGTAAACGGAAATTGATGTAAACTTTTTCTACACTGCCTCTCTATAAAGGAGTACTAACACTTTATAGAGTATGCTAGTGGAAACAATCTCATAGCACACTTCAAGTCAATTAAAGGGAGACAACTGACACTTTAAACAAATTTAATTTAAACATTTAATATATATGCTTCTTGGGAGTGTATGAAATATATGTAGATTGATTGTGAAATAAGATGAGAATAATTACTGAAAGAAATTTAAAATACATGGATTTTAGTCAACCTGCTCATGCAACCAACTCCATTAATAGACCCCCTGTGTTAAGAGATCACTTTTTGGGCTTCCAGAGGATGGTCTTTTAATACAGGTTTGACTGTATATATTGTAATGTGTAGGTGTTCAGTTTTGACAGGTTTCACTTTTAAAATGAAAAAAGTTTGATAATAAGATATGGACATCTTTTGGAACAAGGACACTGTTCACTTTCGATAGTGACCCCAGTCCTCCTAAATGTCATTTAGAAATGTTAACCAACAGGATAGGGACTTTAGCAAGTCTTAAACATTTGTTTCAGGAAGCAAGTCTTAACACATTCACCCATGAACATGTATAATGAACTATTCCAACCTTTGAATTGGATGAGTTCAAATGTGTCTTCAGGGGTGAATACATAATTCAATATTCAGGACAGTGACTTCTGATCACATGGATATTTCTTAATTTTTGGCAGATCTACCGCAGGCCGTACTTCTTCCGTGAGTTTTGAAATTAAGTCCAAAGATCAATGTGGGCACGATGAATGATTCGTTGCACCTGGTGCGATCGTGTTTCAGCGACAGGATGTCAAAACCTGTCAGAAGCTGATAACACAGGTGATGAAATGATACTTACAATAAACGTATGTTTGAAAATAAATGAAGAGATAAGTTTTGAATGCGTACTGTTTTCTAAAAAATCTAATTACTAGATAAGCAGACTGAAAATGATGGACAGCTCGATTTTTACTATAGACTTAACCCATTCACCCCTAAAGTCAAATTTGAACCTTACCAAATCAAAGACTGGGAAAGTCCAGTTTAAATATGTAGGGGTGAATGAGTTAATTTCTATATATATAAGTGTAAGGAAGAATGGGAGGTTGCCCACACAGGTGATACATATTTTTCTCAAGTTTTTTTTATCGTAGGCGGTAACAACACATTCAGTCAAGAAGAGGAAGTGGTTGTCGAAATGGCATTTAAAAAAACCTGTATAATTTAATTTGTGTAATTCAATTTTATTTTTTTTGTAAGTTGAATGATAAAAATAGTTGATAGATTAAGTGTGTTGAGAAGCAGACAGATTTCTTATCTATGCGAGTAGGTATGGAGGCTGACTGCAGGGGTCTGAGGAGGGCCCTATCTGTCGGACCTTGGGGGGGAGCCTGCAGTACTTACCTCCAGGGAGCAGTGTGGTAGCATTGGGTTGGGAGTGACACAGGCCGGTAGTGGTTTAACGCGAGGAAATGATTCATATTATAAGGATTACTACTATAGTCGAAAGAGATGATATCGTAGAGGTGTTCCTGTGAAGTAAACTTGTGAACTACGTGTAGTTGTTGCTTAAATCCATTCATGCTCCGCTGGGCCGGTAAACAGTGTGTGCGCGCCGTATCTCCCCTCCAAAAATGAAGGAGCTTGAGGATATTCTTGATAATCTGTTAGTCCAACTGAATTCACAGCTCACTGCCATTGACCAAGATGTAAGTTGAATCGCAAAGTTTTCTGTTGTGAATTTTTCTTGAAAGGTTAGTAATGAGACGAAATATGATGGCTATTACCATTGCAGCATCATCAGTTATGATGCATAAATATATGGCGTGTGTGTTTCATCTTATAGCCACTTGTCTGATCATGGGAATGGAAGCATATTTCTTGATTGATGCGTATATTAGCTACATCAGAACTTCTGTGTGTTGTATATAGATATTACATATGTAGGTTTATAGGTCTTTGTTTATACCATGTATTAATGTGCCCAAAAGTATGTTTTAAAGTCAGGGCCATCTTCCTTGATTGCAGTTGTTCATATTTTACCGTATGGCATACTTCTAAACAAGCTAGCTCACCTCTGTTATATTAAGTGGGTTTTTGATCTGAAAAAATGGAGGAAAAGTGTGAAATATACTGTATATACCGACTGGATTATAACTTTTAGTTAGATGTTCCTAGTAATGAAACCACAGTAGTTGTCGTTAGGCTACAGGGAATCTTGGTATAACATTCTTTTGATGAACAGGTATGTGTCTTTAATTGAATTCAAGTGGGGCTTACCAATAAAATTATCGAAGCTCACTGATTTGGCATATATCACTCGATCATAAAACCAGTGGAATTTCTAAAAATTGAATCTCAAAATTAATTCCTGTTTTGAGTATAAATGTTGAGTCTTCATGTCTATTGATATACACGTCATTATGACTGAGACTTTTTCTTGGAACTCTTTTGTAAAGTTCTGAGTAGGGACATGTAATACTGTAAGTACAGCACTTATATATACCGGGTAAACTCAAGGTTATAAGGGAACATGTGCACAGATGTACTGTATATATACACAGATGGGTACTTACACCAGTGTGCCAAAGACAGTGCTGCTAGCTATAGGTTCTCACCCCAGAATACCAGGTGTTTGGGAACTGAACCCTGTGACCCTTCCAAGCTGCAGTCTGCCATGGGGAATGCATATGTATATGTTGGGTCAAAAGAAAATTTTGTATTTTCTCTCATACATGTACTATATTTAACATAACGCAAGACACATATGTTATTTTGGTTTCAACATGAAAGTTTTAATTATTTAATATGTGTAATTATACCTTCCCTGTTCTGATTTTAAAACTTTTTGGCTGGTTTCGACACTAAAAGCTTGTTATTATTTTACAAAGCAGAATAATGCTTCATCTTTTATCTAATTGTAAAACATGAGATAGAGCTAAGCCTGGTGTATCAGAAATCTGAACTTTTAAGTTGAGACATGGAAGATATGCTTGTCTACCAAACCTTTTTGCACTATTTACATCGCAAGTCAGGTGTCAGAAAGGCCAGTTTTCAATGGGTAATGATGTATAATGAAATTACGGTTACAGTGTTACTCAATCAGTGATTCTTTTCCAGAGAAAAACAGGTTTTCCTGAATTGGCCTACTGTCCTAATTGGAATTTTATATGTATATGCATCCCCTCACTCATCCCCCCCCCTCCCCCCCTCCAACTTCAACCATCC